TTAGACTGAGCTCAGACCAGTGAAACGGTGAATAGCTGTGAAACTAGTAGCTCAGCTGGTGTGCTGAATGTCACTGACACCTAGTGGACAAACCGCAGTCACACAGTTTGAGAAGAGGCTGCTCACTGCCTCACTACAGTAGGCTATTTCAATGATTACATGTTCATGATTACATGGCTCGCTTTCAACCCCTGTTAAAAACAAATCTTTGTACTCACATCTGGTCTATTATGGAAAAATAACTGACAGCATTAACAAGACAATCCCACCAGGCCCATTAAATAGCTTATTGCATGATCTTCATCAGCAAATGGACAGCTTGTTCAGATGATAGCAGATTACATTAGTTTAGATATGTTCATTCTTGCTACAACATGAGGAAAAAACATTTTAATAAGAAGCTCACATCTTAATTGGCTGCACCTTTACAACACAGACTATACAGGATATATATATACATACACACACCCACACACATACACACACACACACACACACACACGAGCTATAAACATAAAATTTCTCAAGCAACATTTTTGAAGGGGACACAAATAATGAAGCCAAAATGGTACTTGTATAGGATAGCCTATGTGTGAACAGAGGGAAGTCTTACTGCTATTATTAGTGTAACTGTCGCCTCCCAGCAAGAAGGTCGTGGGTTCAAACCCCGGTTGCCCCGGCCTTTCTGTGTGGAGTTTGCATGTTCTCCCCGTGTCTGTGTGGGTTCTCTCCGGGTGCTCCGGCTTCCTCCCACCATCCAAAGACATGCAGTCTAGGTTAATTGGTGACCCTAAATTGTCCTTAGTGGTTGTTATGTGATGGACTGGCGACCTGTCCAGGGTGTACCCCGCCTTGGCTCCAGCCCCCCTGCGACCCTGTACGCAGGATAAGCGGTTGATGATGAATGGAGACCGTGATGTTACCAAATTGTTATGAGTTACTCTTTTCTCTGTCTTTTTATCTGGCCAACAACACAAAGCAATAGTTGTTTAAATATGACTTAGGTCCAGGTTGGCCATCGGTCATATTATCCTAATTATCTGGCGTCCTTCTAGTATTTTAGGTTTTAGGTACGTCTCTTACTTAGATATTCAACCGCAGCAAGCCACCTGATCGGCCACTTAACATCATAATGCGCAAACACAACACAATGGTAGATCTACTACTAATATTAACCCTAATATCAGTTCACACAGGCTTATGGCAGTGTTAGTTATAGTAGCCTAAGAGATGCAACGATTGCATTTTTGACCTGCTGACACCGATTCTTTCTTTCTAAGAACTATAATTGACAGCATACACAAACATCTTTGTAACTTTTCTTTATTGTATTTATATGTATTGTATTATTATTTTTTACTTGGAACCCCATCAGCACCAGCATTACGGTATTTCTGAATTGCTAAAACACTAAAATCCATTTGCAAAACCAAAGTTGCAAGTGTACAAACCACTTTACTGATTGAATCACACAATTTGCAGAACTTTAAACACTTCTCATGTGGTTAGACACAACTAGCAAATCGGAATCACTCTTTGTGCAAAACTGTAAACACATTGTCATTCACAAAGCACATGTAGCATTTTGGTGCACTTCAACTCAGAATGGCACAACACAAAAGTGAAACACAAGCAACACACTGTTGTCATCGGTAACACACAAGCACTCAAAATTGAACACACCTGTTTCAAATCAGTAATGTGTTGCACCTAATCAGTAATAAGGATATAAAGCCATGTCAAATCCAGATGGCATGTGTGATTTTCACAATAGAGTGCAGGAGAGGAGGACGAGGACGAGGACGAGGACGAGGACGAGGACGAGGACGAGGACGAGGACGAGGACGACGACGACGACACGACACGACACAACGACGAGCCATAATTTCCAATGAAATTAGAGCAACAATCATACACCATGTTCTGGTTCATGGAGGGAAGCAGGACTACGTGTTTTCAGAAATGAGAATAAGAAAGAAATCTACTCTCACTAGCAAAAGTGTGTGTGTGTGTATGTATATGTATATATATATGTGTATATATATATGTATGTATGTATGTATATGTGTGTGTGTGTGTGTGTGTGATATATATATATATATATATATATATATATATATATATATATATATATATATATATATATATATATATATATATATATATATATATATATTTCCGTTCTGAGTATAAAAACAATATTCTCAAATATTTTACAACACACTTGTGTCATTTGAAGAAATAACATTGTTTTGAATGTAAAGTTTCATTTTGCAGGAGAATTGAGGGGTTTTGCCCATTGTGTGTGTTTTTTGATTTGTGTGTAGAGTTCTGAGAATGAGTCATTCTTTCAGAAAATGTGTGTAAACAATCAAGAAAAACTGTATTGGTCAACATGCCATTGTAGAGTTGCCAGGGCAGCGTGGTGGCAACGTGACCATATGTGCTGCCATCAGCAGCTACGGGGTTATTCACCGCTATGTGACTTTAGGGCCTTACAACACTGCCCATCTTATGTTTCTGCATGCTCTACAGGAAGCACTGAGACGCGAACAGAGGCAGAGCATCCCATGTATGTGGTAATCTGGGACAATATGAACTTTCACCGTGGTCCTAGAATTTGTGAGTGGTTTGAAAATAACCTACGTTTTATAAATGTGTGCCTCCCATCATACTCACCCTTCCTTAATCCCATTGAAGAATTTTTTTCTGCATGGAGGTGGAAGGTCTATGACACACAGGTCTATGACACAGGAAAATCTCAGTCAATGGATGCAGCATGTGACAACATTGGAGTGGAAGCGATTCAAGGTTGGATTCGGCATGCTAAAGGATTCTATCCCCGTTGCTTAGCAAGAGACAGGAATGCCTGTGACGTTGAGGTCCTGTGGCCTGACCATGCCCAGAGGCATGATGCTGAGGCAGAATGATTCCAAGACATTGCTTGCTATTGATCTGCTGCATATTTTGTGACTACATTTACTGTATACATGTGCAGGATTGTACAAGTACTTCATAATATATTTTTTCCCCTGCTCTGCCCTGAGTGCAGTGTTTTGCATTTATCTCTGTAGTGTGTAATGACTGCTGTGTAGTGTTTAGCTGGATGTGTGTGTTACCTGAAAACAGTGTTTGGTTTTGTGTAAAGATAACATAGTTCTGAAGCAATTGTTTGATATAGCAAGAAAAGTCAAAGGTTTTGACAGTGTAGCTTAAGTTTGGTGATTTGTGTTTAAGGTTTTGAGAAAGCGAGAGAAACATTTAAAAAATGTGTTTTAGCAATTCAGAAATACTGTAACACTGGCTATTCTCACTGGGGTCCATTCAATTGTATGGTCACAATGAACCAATGATTACTAGAAAAGTCGCTTATTCACTGGAGGGAGCTGTTTTGTAGCTACAAATAAAATCCAACTCAAAAATAGGCCATTTCTAATATATTTTAATTGGAAAGAATACATGACTCCTTTTGTAGTAGGCTAGGTTACTTCTAATCTCACCATTTTAATTCTCTAATTCTTATTTTAGTGTTTACTCACAAACTACAGTAGGTACTCTGCTCACCTTGCTTTACCTTTCAGACACACAAGCACACACCTAAACCTCTCTGTCTCTCTCTGCCTGTATCTGTCTGCTCTGACTTTATCAGTTTTATCAAAGACCACTGGCATTTTGTAGCCTAGCCTACTTTTCCCCGGCGATTCCCTTTTCACAGCAGCAGATGAGCCGCCTGTGGAGGAGGCTTGTTGTTAATTACCACTTAGAACATCATTTCATCTGTGAATAAAACAGCCCTGCCAGCCTGCCAAAGTTACTGGAGTCCCATAACTACTGAAGCGGTTCAAACTTTCTCTCCCTCCGGAGAGTTGTGTGTGGATGAAGTAACGGGAAAGCAGGCAGTGGACCAAACCACTATCATTTCCGCCTATGAAAAACTACAATGTATAAATACTGCTAATACTAATACAATCAAAAGTTCACTTAGGTACAGCACAAAAGTATTAGCATCAAAATATAGCTTCAAGTACCAAAGTAAAAGTAGTCTACTGATTATATTGCCAGATGTTATAACGATTAGATGTAATGTTAACATTACACTGAAGCTGGAGGAAATTTTAATTACTTTAAAAGGCAACTGTTGGGTACCTTGTAAATTTTACCCCGGCGATTATATTTGGCTAATTAATCTTAATCTGCAAAGTAATAGCCTAACTAGTATTTAGTTGCAAAAGAAATGTATTGACTGAAAAGCATTTGCCTCTGAACTGAAGTCGAAGTACTGAAAAAGTAAATACTTAAGTAACTGTACTAAATGTATTTTCACCAGTCTTAAGTTTAGTTTAGTTTGTTTACGGCACTGAAATGTTGACGTTAGTATGCTAACACGCTAAACTAAGAGGACAATGTACCTGCCAAACATTACCATGTTATCATGGTAATTATTATTTACCTCCAACGTTAAAGCCCAACATGCTGCAGACTCTCGTTGAAACTCTTTTCAGTCTCTCAAATCCGGTATCGGTCAGGATATAAAATAAAATAAGCAGGCTGACGACAAATGCTGCTAACTGGTGTGCGACCTAATGTGACCATAACACTTTAACTGCCCATATTTAGCATTCATAAGCAGTAATAGTAGTAACTGTAATGTAATAAAAGTAAACACAGTAAAGAATGTAGCTATAAGCAGATACATGGAAAAGTGCTTATTGATGTACACTGTTTGCCAACAATTATAACTTCTCCAATGAGGATAGTTTATATTATCACAACTGTTTCACTTTATCATTCATTATCTGTAACCTCAGCCTTTACCTGTGGGTGCCAAGAGTTAAAGTAAAGTACAGTAAAGTGTGGCCCACCTGGATAGCAGTGTTTGTAGTAGTAATGCAGTTCCTTCTAATCAAAGTATTTCTGTTATTTTGTCCACTACCTGCACAGTGTGGCCATGAGTGTGGCACATAAATAAGAAATGCAGAGTAAAAAAATAAGAGCAAGAGTAGCTTTTTACAGTTTTTATTGTTGCTGGAGGCTCTAATACAATATGAATCATAAGCTTTACAAAATAAAAACAAAACAAAAATACAACAAAAGATTCCCCTCCAAAATGGAAACGGTCAAAGGTTTCCACTGAGACACAAAGACAAAACTGTGACCCCCAACAAAGACATAGTAGGTGAGGACAGAGAAAAGTTGAATAAGCAGAACAGAAGGGAGGCAAACTGTCATGTTATACACAGTGTAAGGGGTTGGGTTGACGATGTGGGTGTAATCACCCGGTGATTATAACAAGTCCATCCCCATGTTTGATAAGTCTACTTTTCCACTCGCTGCAGCCCCCAGGATCGCACACAGGCTCACATGCATTAGTGGAGTAAACAGTAAAAAACTAAAGGCCGCCCTCGTGGTCACGCTGTTTACGTCGCCCAGAATAATGACAGTTATACACGGACAGTAATAATTTTATACAAATATATTGGGGTGGGGGCATGTCGTGGACAAAAATAGGTGCAACAAAATTTTTTTATGTCTTTAATAATGACAGCCCCGCCGAGCTTACACCACAGTCTGTGTCCGTTTCCTCGTCACGGAGGAAGAGTGGGGCCAAAAAAATCACTCATTTGAAACAGACAGAGGGCACATCAGCTGTGAGAACATCAGGGATTATTACTACAATGACCCTCACACTGTAAGATTATCATTAACCGTGGTAATACTATCATTATATTCATAACATGGGAAAGAGGCAGAGAGAGAGAGAAGAGAGGGGTGAAGAGAGAGAGAGGGAGTGAATGGCTTCATGGCAGATGAGATGCATGAAAACGAAACCGGACAGGAAAAAACAAAAAAAACAATAAACAAAGCTAAGCATTTTCTCCTTTTTTGTTTTTTCCACAAATAAACAAGAGTGCAGCACTGAAACAGGTATGGAGGGAGAGACATAAAGAAACAGAGAAGAGATGGCAGACACGAGGCGGAGAGAGAGTGAGAGACAGAAGAAAAACAACAGTAGCATCTCTAGCTGTTATGCTTGCGTTTGAGTGCATCCATCAGGTCGACCCTCAGAGCCTCCTGCTTTGACTTGTCAGCCAGAGTCTGAACAGTCCTGTGGGGGGGGGACACAAAGAGGGGGGAGACAATCAGCATGTGCAAAATCAGATGTAAAAACACTGCAAGAGAGAGACAAAGAAAAAAAAGTTTCTTCAGCGAGACAGAGACACACAGTCTGTAAGTACAAGAGAAAAACTGAATCTCTTTAAAAGTATTAGTTATGTAGACATCACACTCCAGTTCTCCTTCTCTGTGGGGAGAAGATAGTGGGGAATGTGTGTACACACTGCACAACATTAATGTCAGGCAAATTAAAATTATTTGTTACCATGCAGTTCATCCTTGTGCCTACACTTTCTTACACCATCCATTACTTTCTGCACTTTGTTGTTATTTTAACATGCACAGCTCATCATTTTATGTGCAAATATGAAATTAAAATACACAAAATCTTAGTTTTATATTTAAATCATACTTTAATAATAAAACAACCCGGTTAATCAGACGGGGGTGAATGTGTTTGTTCCTATCTCAGTGTTGTTTCTTCACACTCACACACTTTCTACAAAACGTGTTTTCCTTTGATGGGACAAAGTGCTACACACATTTCAGAAAAAACCTTATTAGGGCAACAAACTGCAAAACATCAGGGGTGGTGACTAATTTAAATACTCTAACATTGTTAGTGTGTCGCTCCCTCACAGAGATCGTCTGTTAGACTCAAAGGTAAACAAAACCTGCATTACATGCGTACACAGCTGCTCAATCTTCAACACTCGGAGGAGCATGCAAATATGTTCATGTAGCATACAGTCTCACACACACAGCCTGAAACCTCACAACCACATTTAAATTGGGCTTTTCTGATGATCATTTTCTACTGTACTTTCAGTTTTGGCCTGTTGTGGACAACAGCTGATTCTAAATCTCATATCTCTGACCTACATAAAGTATTCAAAATGTGATCATTGGCCAAATCTTAATTACATAATCGTCATCCAATGGTACGCGAGTCAATATAGGACACTAAACCTACAGAGATGAGGTAGACTAAATTTGTCAGATGGTGCGACATTAGTTACCTGAATCTTAAAATTAGTAAAACGAGGAAGTTTGTTATTAACTTGTGATAAAGACAGAGGGAGCATCACCGACTTATCAAAACTCTTAACTGTTTTAAAGGTGCATCACTTATGGTAAGCTTTTTATTTATTAATTGATTGTGTGTGTGTATATAATAAAGTTATCTATCAGTTAGTCTTTATAGACTAAAACATTTTCCTTTCCTTTCCGTTCATTTCCTGCTCACACACACACACACACTTCTCCATGCCAGGTTGCAGGATGTACCTCTGACCCTAGTCAATGAAGATCTGACGCTGGGTGAGGACCTGCGACAGCTCCTTCTGGAGCTGCCGGTACTTTTGGTTATCAGGCAAAGATTCAATAGATCTGGAGCACAGAAGAGAGGCAGCAGGGGATCGACAGAAGGACAGACAGTAAGGAAAAATAATGGACAAAGGCGATAAAAAATAAGATCAGCAGGAGAGGTAGAAGAAAGGGATAGGGGGAGGAGGAGGTGAAGTGAATACAGAACAAAATGCAACCGAAAAAAAGGGCAGCCATGGTAGGTTTAAAGAAAATATCACATAAGAAATGACAGAAATTGACAGGAGGGGTAAGAAAATATCTGTTGAACAGATGGAGATGCAGAAGTAAACTGCTCTCAGTAAGACTGGTACACTTAGAAAAACAAAGTTTCTGCGGCTTCTGCTGTCTGGAAGTGCTGTAAAAGGAGCGAGGGTGGTTAAGCAAACAACTCATCTAGTTTTACCTCAGGCCGTTGACTATGTCCTTGGTCTTGCCAAAGTAGATTTCATTCAGTGTGGAGCGAATCTTGTTCTCCATATCCTGGAATGAGAATCAAGACATTAACTTTTAGCATGACCCCCGCCTCTATTTTTCCCACGACTACATTCTCAGACAACTGTTTTCACTGGAGATGTGAGAAGTGTGATGCACATTATGCTGAACAAGTGACACCGGCTTGGCTATGTGGCTGAAAGGTTTTTCATCACTGGTGTTGTACTATGTGAAGTATTACAGGTTACAGACTATAACCTTTACATCTTACATTTAAAGCTCTGCAACAACACTGCAATGAATTTAAACTGCTGATGCAAATAAACAGAAAGGATAATCCAGAAGTTCCTATAGAACTTGTTGAAATCGACAGGCAATGAAATATGAAGGTCATAACCTATGGTATGCTTTTGTTTTTACTTTTATGCTGAATGGTCTAGTCTCTCTAAAACTAGTTATTTGCCTTTTCTTTTTTTTATCCTAGAACAGATCCCTATGACTCAGGCACATTGTGTGTTAACAAAAGGGTGCCATATGATGGTATATTTGTGTTATTAGACATCAGCCGTCATATACTGACTTCGACAAGGCGGCCGATGTTGGCGATGTGGGGTGAGGACTCTCCGACTGTCTCATCTTTTTCCATCTGTGAAAAGAGGAAAAGAAATTCAGTGCCTAAATGACTACAGAAAGGCTGGACCTATCAGCAGTGGTTTTCTGTTTGTTTCAACCGTACCTGTCTCGTGAGGCTGCCGCCCAGGTTCATGGTACCGGAGCCGGTCTTGGTTGTCTGGAGCCACAGCATGACGGTGGAGGTGAGTTTGTAGTGAGCAGTGCGACCGCTGGACTTCTCCTGCTCAAACAACACACAACAAGCAATGAGATAATACTCTAAAATGGAAGGTGTTACGCTTTAGCACTGTCCAAAGATTTATGATTGTCGATTTCTGCTCTGAACTTGGCAAAACCTGTAATATGCAGCCAGGGTATAGCAATAATTTACAAGACAAACTTAATTTAGAAACACTGCCTTCATACCAGGAATTCAAATATTCAAAACATTTTTCTATGAAGAATGTAATTGTTTTAGAAAGTCCAGTTCTGTCCTTTATGCCATTTGGGTCCTATGTTATTGTTCTATAAGAGAACAAATGGTTAAGTAAGGGTTGAAGAAATAAAATGAAAAGTTTACAATTAACAAATTTTCCCTTCGGTGTTTTACAATATGACTTCATGAACTATTACTTAAACTCTGGGACTGCATGGAAGACATAATTATTCTCTGTTGCCACTATGTATAAAGCTAAGATACAAAAACATAAAGACTGGGCAGGTGCGAGTTCAAACGCCAGCCTGCTTCCTATCAGCTGATTCTTACCTGCACCTCCACCACATGGATGGAGTCCCAGCACCCTTTGATCTTCTTGGATCCATCCCCGGCCTTCTTGATGAGAATAACTCCAGCAAAGCCGTGATCCAAATCCCAGAGGTACACCGAGGACACACCACCCTCAAAGTACCTGAAAAACACAGATATTAGAGGTTACAAGAGGCCAACACTGACTGTTAATTAAAAAAAAAAAAAAACACATGGTTTACTTGGCTGGTACTCACAGGTCTCTGTACTGGTCAAAGGCGTTATTGGCTTCGACCTCGAGTTTCCTCAGGCGAGCTGAAGGCATCGCACCATCTTCAATGGGAGGTTCATACTTATTACTCCACGGAGATCTAATGTAATAAAGAAGACAACTGTATAAATAAGTACCTAACCAAATGTCTGTAAACCCACTTGTGTTACCCACTGTTCTGTTTTTTGAGACCGTGACTTAATAACTTTGCTGGCGTTATCTATTAAAGTGATGTCTGTTTCTCATGCAGACACGGGTTTCTTTGACGTTACTGTTCGTTATGGCTTCATTCAGCTATAACAGGACATTTCCAGAAAATGATACAACGTTCGAGGAATCTTTAGCACCCGGTGAGGAAGCGGTGGTACCGCCGGAGAAAAAGGGGGCGAGTTTAAAAAGTTGAAGGAAGAAGAGTTTTTGATTGTGTTCTCTTGAAGTTTAAATCTCTGATGTATTTTTAAATGTTTTTGCAATTGAAAACTTTGTTAAAGCTGGGGTAAGCAATTTATTTCAGTAGCATGTGCATGAAAATGTGTTTCGGGGAAGTGGCTTAGGAGGGACATCTGATTTTGGGATTTTTTTCAGTTGGATACTTTCAAAGTCTCGCTGTCTCTTGCTGGTTCTCCAACACTACCTACCCCAGCTTTAATGAGCATAATGAGTGCGAGGGATGCTCAACTCCTGCTTCTCTTCTAGTGAATCCTCCAACAAATTTGTGACCTTTATAAATGGCTCTGACACGAGAAGGATGTCCTCGTTCACAGTGTTTTGTAGTTTATTACAACTGATTTTATGTTCTTTGAGCAGTAGATTTTGATTGCTTGAGTGATTTATTTATTTATCACAGTGATCTTAGATGAAGGAACAAGACACATTTCATGTCTGTGCATGTTACCTTGTGCTACTGCAGCCATTAACCCGAATTCAGACCTGTGCCGCATTGAAAGTGAAACACCTCAAGACACAGAACGGAAATGTTCTAGGTCCTAAAACTGCTTTTCACCCCGCCTTCCAGTGTAGTCATTTGGAACAAATTTGCCTATGTCTTGAAATGTTGTTAATTTGTGTTCAACCATGTAAAGCATTTTGTAACTCTGTTTTTAAAAGAATAAATAAAGTTTCATCACTATTATTATTTTAGCCAGATAATCTGATTTTATTCACTATCCATTAAAAAACAGCTAACAGGTTAGTTTCAGTCACTGTCTGTGGCCTATTGTCTGACGACAGATGAACTAAACTGCAGTTTATGTTCACTGTCCATGACCTAATTGCAGTTATAAACTGGACCTGTAGGAGTCGCCGTCTCGGTTGTAATCGCAGAGCAGATAGTCTTTCCCCACCACTTTGTCCCGGGCAATCTTCAGGGGCTGATCCACAGAGGAGAGGAGGTCCTCGCAAAGGCTGGGCACCTGGACACAAACACGGAAACAAAGAGCTCATTACTTTAACACGTTTTCTACGGCTGAGCATACTGAAGTATCTGTGCTGTGAAAGTTTGCAATATCTCAATTCCTCAGAGACACCTAATTTAAAGTGTTCCGTTTGTCTTAAGCAAGAGACATGGACAATCTATTTTTGTCAATTGAGACTTCCTGTAACAGATGCCAACTAAAAAGAAACTTGCAGACTGTGGAGGAACAGATTAGACAGCAAAAACAAAAGTAGCCTAGAAGTTCTTGTCTTGTCTCTCATTTCACCTTCACTCAATGAGCAGAGGTTACTGACGGGAGCTGGGATAAAATATCAATGGGAAACACAATATCTAGAGGATAAAGGGGTACAAATTACTTCTCACAGACTGACATGGACTCCTCTCTGTATGTCCTCCTATCAGAGCAGAGACACAAAGGAGGCCCTGTTATCCCGCACACCCTTGAAGAAACGCACACACACACCTGGCAGCCCAAACCGGGGGAAACCAAGTGGGAAGAGTGTGGTAGGGAAGAAAATGGAGGACAGAGAGGACGAGAAAAGAGCGATGTGTGGACAACCGGGAAAGAAAGAGGTGACTTCAGGTGATTCCTAATTGCCAGGAAGAGTTTGAGCAGAGATGGTGGAGCCAAGAAGTGCCTGGCAGTGGAGGTGACTGACAGCTGCGATAATAATCACTAACAACCGGACACATTGAAACGGGTGAGGAGAGAGCCGATACCCGGGGGAAGAGAGGTTAAAGGTGAGGGAAGAGGAAGGTAAGCAGGTGGGGGGTCCGGCTGGAAAGGAACGCATATCCCCATAAAACAAGGTGCCATGGAAACTGGTAAAAGTGTGATTTGATTTGTGTCTGATTTAGCTTAATTTGTCAGACACAGCTGGCCCTGCTCTGTGAAAGTCCAGAGAACAGGTCTAATCATTTCAAAATGAGAAGTTTTTAAGAAGGAAACAGGTTGTTATTTTACAGGGAGAAATTTAAGTTGTTTTTGCACTGAGAATTTACTAATGTGTAATAGTAAACGCTGGAAATAGCTTCAGTTACCCAGATGACTGTCGCACTTGCACAGTTACTCACTGAAACTGAAACAAAAAACCACAAAAAGGCCCACCTACATACAGAAACCAGAGACCAACAAACTCCATGTTTGTACACAACTTTTTACTGGCTGACTTGATTAAAAGAAAATGCCTTTACAATTTCAATATAAGTGTTTTTAGGTTTTCTGACTTGATATTTTTCTTCCATTCAGCAAAAATGTACCCAACCATGAATGACTTAAAATAAATGTCTGTGCTGTCATTGCTGCTTTTTGTTTTCTTTTGAGATTCAACCACTAAATGAAAACTCTGCAGCACATGAGCTTCATTATGAGTAGTAAAAAAAATAAAACACAACAGAATTTTATTTACATGCATTTAAAGTCCTCCTCCTCTCAAAAATGTGTTACTGATCCCTGAAGCGCTTTCTGATTAAAAAAAAAAAAAAAAAAAAAAAAAGACACTGACTCAATCTACGTCCCCCCCCCCCATTTCCAACATTTTTTTGGTGGAAAACCACATGACACACAAATTATTCAAAGCAAGAGTGTTTCTTAAAAGGTGTCTGTAGGGGACACAGCCTACACCCTGCTTGTCTTTTACCTGTAAGTAAATCTGACAGCATAAAGCAAAGACAGCAACTCACCAGGTCAATGAGGTCACTGAGGTTCTTCTCGATCTGCTGTGGAGGCAGACGCCTCATCAGGTCCAGGGCACAGTCTAGCTGCTGGTCATTCTGAAACACACACAACCAGCAGAGACACAATTATTACACAGTAAAAGCAGCTTTGATCCAGTCTAAATCGTTAGTCACATACAGTATGTCGCTGTATACTGGTATGTTGAGTTTGTTTCAAAAACAAACAAAAATTGCTATTATGAAAGACGTAAGTAAACTCATAATAAACACATAAAATACAAAACCATATAGCTAGTTAAATACTTGTCTAAAAAGATGTATCTTTAGGAGTTTTCTAAAAGTTTCCACAGAATCCAAGGCTCTCAGGGCTAAAGGGAGAGAGTTCCAGAGCCACCGCACAGAAAGCACCATCACCTCTTGTTTTAAAATGTGTTCTGGGAACAGTTAAAAGGTCTTGGCCTGAAGACCTGAGATAGCGACCAGAAGTGTGTGTGTGCAATAGATCCTGGACGTAACAGGGAGCTTGACCATGAAAGGCTCTATAAGTAATGATTCAAATTTTAAAATGCACTCTAAAACCAATCAGAGGCCAATGAAGAGCCTTAAGCACAGGAGTAATGTGCGATCTCCTGTTGGGTCTTAGACAAAAGTCTTGCAGCCGCATTCTGTACAACTTGTGGTCGGTCCATGGAGGATTTGTTTAAACAAGTGTACAATACATTGCAATAATCCAAACGAGAAGAAATAAAAGCATGAACAAGCATCTCCATAACCACAGATTTAACAGGAGTGTTAAAACACAGATTTGTCAAAAATGACACCCAGATTTCACATAACACTACAGTCAGAGGATGATAGAGCCCCAATAAAATTAAAGAAAGACAATAATGACAACGAGACAATTAACCACAAAACATTAAAAGGAAATTTATAGAAACCAGTATATCTTTGTTGTTCCCAAATGCAGACAGAAAGTTGTAAGCTAGACTCAAGGTAAAATCTTCTGTAGTATAAAAAAAATAAATAAAAATTGCGTGTCATACCGGCTGAAGTCAAATATTGATTGTCATATAATTGATCATCTTTGGTTCAATTCTTCAGCTGTGTGCGGCGGATCAGGCCCTCAGTACCTGCGCTCCTTGGCTTGGGTCTCTGCTGTTGCTAGCAGTGGGTCTGAGCCCCTCAGGATGGCGCTGATAAATGCTCGCTCCATAGTGAATAAGTCCTTCATACTGAACGATTTATTCACCTCTAAAGGTTGGATTTCCTATTTCTGACAGAGACTTGGCCAAGGAGCATGGAATATGGCCCCCTAATCGAACTGTGCCCGCCGGATTGTACTTTGATCAGCACTCCCAGGACCTCGGGCCGGGGTGGGGGACTCGCTGTGGTTTTCAGGAGCTGCTTTCAAAGTCAAATGGTGAGCACTGAACTACAGATGACCAAAGATGGTCGTGCAAATCAGTTTTATTGCATTTTAATTTACAGACTCCCTCTATTTCCTCTGAGGAGCTGCATGTTACTGAGCACGCTGACACTGATAGTCTGCTCTACTACTTGAACACACATTGCTCCGCTGTTTTGGATACACTAAGTAGAATGAGACGTCCTTCCTCCGTCAATTCATCCTTCTGGTTAAATGACACTTTTCGTTCTTTCCAGCCTAAATGTCGGGGGGTAGAGCGACTGTGGAAATCTACCAAGCTCCATGTTCATCGTCTCTATTACAAAGATCTTTTAACTGAGTTTAAGAACATGGTTAAGGATGCGAGGGCTTCTTATTTTGGTAACCTAATTTCCTCCCTCAATTGCAACCCTAAAGTCCTGTTTGACACCGTCAACAGCATTGTCTCTCCTGCAACCTCTGATGCAACTCTTTCTTTGTGGACAAAATTAACGATGTCAGGGCTAGCTCTTCTACTCCATTTCCTGATTGGCCTTCAATTTTGGACTGCTTCTCCCCTGTTTCCCTGTAAAACCTTACTGATCTGGTGGGCAGTATGAAAACTTCCCCAAGCCCTGCAGACATTTTACCAACTTCCACACTTCAAAGCACACTTTGGTCTATTTGGTCCATGCCCGGTCTGGATTATAAAAAGCTTCCTGAAATCAGGTTTTGTCCCAGCTTATTTTAAACATGCAGCCTCTTCTGAAAAAACTAACCTTAAACCATCCCTTCCCAAAAACCATAGCCCTATATCTAAGCTGCCTTTTATCTCAAAGCTTTCGTAAAAACGTTCCACTGATCCAGCTCTCACAGGGTCTCCAGCGACATGTTTTGGTGCCGCTGGATCCAAGACCAGCTTTTGATAATGTAGATCACAGAATCCTCATTCAAAGGCTTGGGCAGTGAGTAGATGTCTCTGGGAGCACCCTGGACTGGTTCTCCTCCTATCTCTTAGGTAAGAGTTTTTCTATGATGCTTGGTCCCCACAGGTCTGAAAGTGCTGCTCTTTCCTGTGGTGTGCATCAGGGTTCTGCCTTGGATCCTATATTAGTTTCTTTAAGTCATATCATTAGCAAATTTAAAGATCTGTCTTATCACTGTTGATGATATCCAACTGTGTGTCTCTTGTAAGCCTGATTAGACTGACAAACTGATTATTAAGGACTAGATGGCTGAGGTCCTCATAGTTGTTTAGATAGCATAGCTCCAATGGTTGCTCAGTGTATTGGGTCCCTTTCTTGATGTGTACAGTCAAATCTTGGTGCTATATTTTATCAGGCTATATACTTTGACTAACATATCAAGTCACTTACCTGTACATGTTTTTCCATTTAAGAAACATTACTAAACTCAGGTCTGTTGTTGCACAACTTGACCTAGAAATTATCTTTCATTCTTTGATGTCATCCCAGTTAGACTACTGCAATTCCCTATTCACCTGCCTCAGGCTAGTCATCCCTGGACCCTCTACCGTCCAGAACGCTGCTGCAGTGCTGTTGTCCACATCCATCCCATCGCCTTTACACTGGACTGTTTTTAAGGTCTTTTGTTGATATGTTTTACTGTTTTGATGATACTATTGTTCCTGAAAAAGATACTCCCGTGAAGCACTTTGTGGCCTTGCTCTGTAAGAGGTGCCATTCTAAATAAACTTTACTTACTGGTACAAAAATCCCTTTTAACTGAAAGCAAAGTTTCAATACTGATATGTTGTGATGTGTTTCTCACTGAAGCAGAGCCCTAACTGTAATTGTGCAAAACAACATTATTAACCTTTTCATCATAATTACAAAACTGATTCATATTTAAGTGGATACTAATTGCCTGTAAACAGCTGCTCCTAACAAGTGTTAACCCATTGGAGCACACTGTCACAAATATAAACTGTTCGGTACCAACAATTTTTAATATGCCCAACATTGACCTGGAAGACTGTCACACAACTACAAAGCATAACTGATCATTTATTATTGGTATTTTTTAATGGTTGCTTTGTTAGTGTACTCCAGTAAAACACTAGTGTCTGACATTGTGTTTCAAACAATTGAAATGAAGAGTGGCACAATAAATACATATTTGCCAGCAGTTTTAGTGAAGTTTTCCTCACTGACGCCAAGCATAGCCACTTTTGAGTTAAAAAAAAAGCTTTTTGGTTGATTTTATCACAACTTCAGCAAGATTTTGAAGATGTGTCACTTCTGTAATATATTCATGCTGAGAGGCAACATTTTGTTCTAATGCAGCCCGAGTCTTCTTGTCACAATGGTTCTCCATGGACAAAAAACACTAGATTCTGGAGGTGCTCTCTCTTTTTTGTTTGAGGCTTCAGCAGTCTGTTGCTCAAATGAAGTGGGTGTCTTTCAATTTTAGTTTTTTTAGTCCAAAATTACTGTCTGACTGAAGCTCAAGACTGTAACTTATACCCACTTTATTTAACTCAGACTGCTGAAGAATTCACATTATCTTCTTCTTATATTGCACAGAATGAGGACTGTGGATTTTGTATCTCACTAAAGGTCCATTAAGAAGGTATCTCTAAATGTCCAGTAAGAATAGGAGGAATGATTACAGCAAGCACAACCTGTTTCAATGTTATACTAATACTTACTGTTTTTAGAGAGACTTGAAAAATGGTGAACATATCCTTTAAAAAAGCCCTGCTGTACCAATAAACAAGTTGTTTAAAAAGCATAACTTTCTAAACTAAAGTGGCTCACTGGTTTAAAGCAGGCTCAATGTAAGTGTGGACTGTAAGGCTGAATTATGGGGGGAAATATACATATGTTTTGGATCAGGACTCTCTTTATTAAAAAAAGACTACTCCGAGCTCATTCACATCTCCAAAACAGCACAATGGTGAAGGCCTGCTACATTCTGTATGAGGATATGGGAGGAGCTGTTGAGCAGGTCATATTCACACCCTTGCAGGCGAACTCTGCTCACTCAGTGCGAGATTACAGACACCATTTCCAGCTCAGTAGAATGAACAGCACTCATGATTTGTCATGTGAGAATTTGCAGGGCAATAAATCTGTTTAGAGATGAAATAGCAATTGGATGAGAAATAGTCAAAAGTCTGGCAAGTCACAAAGTCATTCTGTGGGTAAAACCTTCAAACATGTGGTATGTCATACTATTAAAATCACTGATGTCAGTGCAGATATTATCTATCAGCTGCCGAAGAACATAGGTGGCACATATACTAACTAGTTTTGTAAAAGATATTTGCTCACAAGACAAGATATATATCGTGCTCATGGAACACGTGGAGTTTTGTTGACTTGTCGTACAAAGCTCTCACTTCAAGTCAGCACAAGTGGCACGTGCCGTTTAAGTGTGCCAGTTAAATTGGTGTGGAGAGTTCGCCCTCTGTGCCAGCTGGGTTGTAGAGCGAGCTCAACGTGAAAGCACCTGCTCTGACATCACTGATTGGGGTGTGGCCACAAGTGAAACATGTTTGAAACTTTCAGCTTAGCATGTGTTACTATGCTTGCAGATGTCTGAAATGTCTGATTAAATCACTGCACTGAATATACAATGTGAACCCACTGAGCTGAATCAAATAGATCCTGACACATCTCCTCTCTGTATCAATGTAGTTACTAGATGATGGTTAGATGATTCTTTAGTTTAGCTAAGACTTAGCAAATCCACTATCTAAATATGAAACTCCAAAGCTAGATACAATCAATGTAGGAAGTGAAGGTACAGTAGATTTTGTAGAACAATCAGAAATACTGATAAGTCCTGTAACATAACACTCAAAACCACAATATTATCACAGTCTACAAAACCAGGACCAAAGCAGACTCTTCACTACAGCTTGAGACTAAGTGAAGTCACTTCCTTTTTGGGTTACATGTCAGAGCTCTTAACTGAGGCTTGTTTTGTTGTGTACTCTGGCCCAGCCCTTCCAACTCTTGCAGATAAACCTTCCTGTATCTTGTATCCAGTAGGTAACATTCCTTAAAAGAAACTGTCTGCCGTTTTACAGTGACAGTCTCTTTGTTGTGCAGCAGTTTTAGGATAAATGAAATGCAAAAAAGGCGAATCAGTTAAGAGTAAATGAAGAACTTATTCATAATGGCAGCTGTAGAGCCGTAGAAGACACAGAGCAGACAGGACTGCTGAGCATAGCCTTCCCCCAGGGGGTTCCCTCCCTTAAATATGCACTGAGCTGCAGGATATTAGTGAGCTGGGGAGGACAGACCAGCCACAACATGAAACTGGGGAATGTGTGGGGAGATGTGTGTGTAATAGTAGAGGGACAAAACTCGTTTCTCAGCTAACCCTAGCAGATAACTGGCTCTGCCACAATCATTTTCATCTGGGCATTATCAGACAGTGCCATCAAACTCACCTTCTATTGTTCTCGTCTAAAAATATTTCATTATGGTAATTACAAGACCTTACAGGACCTGAATTAACATAAAACTACAAAACTAGACCAACTTACAGTCACCCATTAACATTAATATGAAATCCCAGAGATAAAAGTCCACACTGACGTGGTACGTGCACTAATGTCTACCACTACAAACAGAAGTGTGCTTATCAAGAATGAAACAAAAATGAAAAATAGCCTGCAATGCTCATCCAAAACCAATGAGAAAAAAAGACGCATTTGCATTGCAAATAATTTTGAATCGCCTGCGTCAATATCAAAATCACCAACAGCACAATAGCAATAGCTTTTTTTGCACTGCCATATTAAACCTATTTCATTCACCTCTCTTTTAGATGCCAACAACACCCTCCACCTTGGCCTATCCATGAAGTAACTCCTCTTAAGTGCATAGACCTAACAGAGTATGCGCATGCAGCTGTTAGTTGGTCTAAGGACAATGACATGTTATAAAGTAGAGAATCCTCTTTCCATAAACATTTTCCTTAGGGGTAACCCTGAACATAACAGACTTTCTAAGCAACGCCTCCCACGCCATTTAATTCCTCTCACATTCTGCCTGTTTTAAGCTCTCTCTCAGCTGATGAATCAGTATGCTCCATCAGACACCTGCATCCTTTGACACTGTGTTTACCAGTGCTCCAGTCTCCATGTAAACACTAGCTCAGACCAACAACCCCCGGGGTCAGGGGAGAACAGTGAGTCTGAGCCAGCAGGATGGATGAGGTGAGGCTGAGGAGAGTAGGCGACTGTGGAGAAAATCCAGCTGCTCTTCCCATCTCAGGCACAAGACAATTTAGGTAATTTAGAAGCACTACAAAACACACTTTTATAAACAGTGTGAAAGCACGAGATGGTGCTCATTTATGCTATACTAGTTCAAGTCATATTGTTTTTTGTTAAACATATACACATGACCATTACAGAAGCTTAAGAGGTATGAAAACAATCAATAAGTAAACAATAATTGCTGGTAGTAATTGTAGGGATTATCAGAGCTCAACAAAAGTCATAATCAAACTTGCAAGGCAGTAAAAAAACTTAGCAGAACAGGCTGACAGCTTGTCATGGCTGGGAATAGGAGGAGCGAGCAGTCTTATTTTAGCTACAGGCAACCCGGCGCTTGACTATTTTAGCCTGTGTGTGTGCGTGTGTGTGTAGTGCACGGCTGGATGACTCTGTGTGTGTATGTGTGCGCATTATATTAGTACTCCTTACTATTACTATTCACGAACTTGTGTCAAATCCAAAACATCCTGTGCTAACTTTATGCCTACGGGGCACATAGCTCGGCTAACAGCTAGCTACTAGGTTGAAGAACCAGCGGCTAGCTGTTAGCCACGAAGCTAACTCATTTGAGTCCAGTATGCAGAAGTTTTGCAAACAGTGCAAGTTTAGATATGCACCGGTGATTTATACACTTGGACCCCCTACTGCTGCTGCTGCTGCTCTCATGTTACCACCCAGCGCGTCCAGCTAGCGTTAGCCTAGCTTAGCACCCCTAGCCGTTAGTTAGCAGCAGCCCCACCAAAACCCTCGTCCCCCTTCTCTCCCTTACCATGTCTGCGGCGGTCTCAGCGGGGCAGGGCAGCACGATTTCACCGACGACTGTACAACTTAGCCTCACTGGGGGTTAACAAGTCGCTCCTCTCGCCTCTTGATGTTCTTTTTTTAGTTTAGTTGTTTTGTTCGCCTCTCCCTCACGGAACCCAGCCCTGTCAGCGAAAATCACTTCCTCAACCGGGCTACAGGAAGGAGGCTGCTGTCAGAAAGCAGGCCCCGGTTGCATGTCCGGGTCACTCCGGGCTTTCTCTGCAGCAGCCAATAGCGAAGGAGCAAGAAAGGCATTGCCAAGTATGGAAAGAGAGGAGTGGTGCAGTGAATGTGCAGTCAAAGAGGGCAGTAGATATACAAATACACCGATGGAGATATCACACAGAGCCTGGCTTTACCAACGATGACTGGAAACTGCCCTGCATGTGATGTTTACAGTGCATTCTGCTCCTTTCATAAACATTTTTAAACTGTCGTACATAAAGAAAATCAAATATATTTATCTAGTTTATATGGATTTCTTTTCACATTACTTTTGACTTTTATTTCTGTTCTTTTTATACATGCACATCTTCTGTGGTAAGTGTAATTAGGTATGAATGATGTTTAAATTATAATAATTTAGTTATTCTCAAAAACATAATTCTGAAATATCAGGCAATATTGCAACATTTACAGCAGTAGACTATTCACCTATAAATGTAACTGGGTCATTATTTTTCAGGGATCAAAAACCAGAAGTGCGGCTGGGGGCCTGCCTGTAAATCTCACCAACATCTGTATATTACTGTACTGACTGTGTGTGCAGCACTTCCAGTATTTAGTGTGCTTTAATTGTATAAGAGGAGTATAAATCCAGCTAAAATCCCGAAAACGTTTAGTTTTAGGCTATGTGAATGTTTTTGAAAAACTAGAGATGTTTTAGATCAGAAGACGGTGTTTTGTTTCTTAAAGTATGACATCTAGATTATCTGCCATCCAGAGGCAGCTATTCTCAGAAATACTTTTACTGCCTGGACAGCATGGGAACAGATAGTTTTCTGTAGCTGACGTGCAACACTGCATCATTTCCTGTGAAGCCTATATGGGCAGGATGGGGGACACTTCCACAAGCAGTGAAAACTATCAAGAACTTGTAACATACAGAAGAACTTTTATCAGATTAAGTCATATTGAATAGTCAATGCTTGGAAAAAGAAAAAAAAACTAATTCGTTTACACTGTTTACACTATACAATAATATCACAGTGATAAATACAGTAAAGTAACTTGAGGGGGCAATACATACAGTACAGTGCAGTACAGACCCTAAAAAGTTGTATGTCATCACAAATCCTGGTGCCTGATTGAATGAATAATGTCTCAAAGTGACGTTCTCTCAAAGTAAATTTCCTTATTATATACAGTCCATGGTTTTCATATTAAAACAAAAAGCAAAAACAAACTCAAGGAAAAAACACGGACAATGACAAGGTAATAACAAGGTGTGTATAGGTATCACAGTCTATGGTATATTCACATAATTTATTCTGGAAACAGTGAATGAAGGAGCGTAGTAGTGGTGGTGGGGGGAGTGCACGTGACTTTACATTTATCTCGCGATAGTTTGTTTAGCTTCCTGACCGCTGAAAACATGGCAGACGACCGCGGACGGAAATGGGACCGCTGTCTTGCTGATACAGCAATGAAAACAGGTTCATGTATTTTCATACATATGTCATTATTGAACACTGTCATTGGGCGCACTGCAGGATATTACACCTGGTAAACAAGCTGCGTTACGGTTCAGTCGAGGTCCTTTTCCACGGGACTCTGCTGCTGTGACCATGCTGCTGGGACAGTTTACTGAGGTCAAGCTTAAACCTGCCCGCTAAGTGGAGAAAACTAACCTTAATTGCATTGTTGTTTTAGGGCATTATGATGAAATAAGACGGCATAAGTATTTATATGCCGGATACAAGATAGAATGTGAGTTTTGATTAACATACATTATACATAGCCTACATACAGCTATTGAACAAAGTCACGGGTGGAGTAAAGGTATGGTGGGTGTATTACAGGCATGAAGGATAATTCTGTCTACTTTCACTCTGAAACTAATTTTCCTGATTCCCAGGCTGTCTCATCTCTCCCCTCTCTCCATCAGCCACAGCTTATATCATTATTTTACTGTTATATAGTCACAAGAGGCATAATGGTCTTACTCTCAAGTTCATAATATATCATTATTTTACTGCAGGGGCGTAGGAACGACTTTGAACTTGGAGGGGGATTGCTGAAATGCTAGGGGGGTTCGGGGGCATGCCTCCCCGTGTTTTATTATTTAAAAAAAATAACTAATAGCACTTAAATACTCATTTCTGACTTTTGCAAACAGAATGTACTTATAAGTGCGGCTGAAAGAGGGTCTTTGTAGTGACAGATTATGGAGAAAAACTTGGAGAGGGTCAGAGAGAGGGAGTATAATATAAGTAGAACAAAACCGATTATATACCATGAAAACCCTGGAACAGCTGCTAGTTAATTTAGCCACAGTACAAATGTATTTAGTAATCCTAATGTTACACTTGTGAGCTGTCTGTGATTTCCTGTGTCTCACTTGGCCCTGATTCTCCCTGCAACAACTGTCTTCAATGCAAACTCTGATGATATGCTATTGGTCTAACAAAGCATTTTTACTACGTGAGTTTTAGAATTTACTATGTCTAGTAGCTATCCACACAACTTACAAGCTCGTCCTCCTCAGTTTGTTCTACTCCTGTGTCCTCTTCCTCTAAAAATAGTGTAGGATGCTCATCTCTGTGTGGCAATTTTGGCTACTTTTATATTGTTTATGGGCACGTTTTTAAGGTCAAGGATGGTCACAGACAGGGGCAAACAAATGGCCCAGGAGTCTGTCCCTGGTCAGCCCACTCTCCAGACAAAACATTTGTTGGGGCTCTGGGTCTTTAGAGACCTTTATTCCTGTATTCTTGAGAATTTTATGCAAGTAGAGAACATAACTAAATGAACCTTTTAAAATACATTTTCAAAACTAGAAACACCCCTCTAACACTCCTAAAGTAAAGTAATCACTTCAGCTGAGCCCTTGAGTAGCTTGTTAAAGAGCGACGCAGGCTGCTTTCTAACAGGCCAACAGTGCCATGGTGTGCGCTCACTGGATTTCAGTTGTATCAGTAGAACAATAAAGCCTTAAACTGAAAAGGTATTTGCCTGATTTTCTAAATGTTTGCATCTATCCAGCTCATTCATCTGTGATAAACGCCCGTCTCTCTGTACCACAAAGGAGACCTGGCGCTCATATGCGTAACTGCGCACAGCCTGGCTGTCAGCTCATTTCGGTTAATAAAGCCTATTGCAGATTACAGACTGGTGAAGTTATGAAGGTGTGAATGGAAAATGTAGCGAAATTAAAAGTAGATAACTGGCCCACAGAAAATCTGGAGAAAAGAGTAAAAGTAGGCATCAGTTTTAAAAAAGGAATGTGAAAAGGTGCCAATGACTTATTTTATTTATTTATTTAGCAAATGTACTTGTAACAAGTTACTACCCACCCTGCAGCAGGCGTCCTCATTGCTGTCTTCAGGTAGGCTATAACAGCAGCACAAAAGAAACGTAATATTGCTGCACCTGCCTCGAGCTAACTCTTTTTTTTTGTGTGTGTCGCATGTTTTCTATAGGCCTACATGATTTTTGTCTGCGTTTCAACCGTTTAATCATGTCTGATGCGGAGTTTGTGACTGATTAACTACTCACTCAAACCGCCTCGGCTATGAGCCAACGCCAAAATCGCAAAATCACAAGGAGCATAATGGCCCTACTCAAGTTCATAATTAAACCTCTAATGTGTTGTGCTACAGCTGAAGTCACCAATTTGTTGTTCTTATTTACATATTGTTCTGTTTCTGTTGTCAGACAGAATGAGCCTAAAATGGTGATTTAATCCTGTCTAAACAGTTCACAATATGCATGTTGAATTTACTGCCAAAACCATCTGTTTAATTAAAGGGTCCATAGGATTTTTCTTTAAGACTGTAATATTAAAATGAATAGATGTTTTGGTTTCCTCAATCGGCTTGGGCCTCACCTAAAGCAGTCAGAGCTGATGAAATAGTGTTGAGAAGATCACCATGGGGTCTTTCTGCAGCATAACTAGCGTCAACTTGGGCATAATAAAATATGTTTCTTGCTGGGCGGAAAAACATCTGCATCGTGGCATTCGTTTGAGCTCACTTGGTGAAAGAACTGGCAGCTGTGCCAAGGTGTCTTTAGTAGCCAGATAAACTCTGTGGCATGTGTTCTGCTCAGGGGGTTGTTTAAAAATATTTTTGTTAGTCCTAACTTTCTGTGATCATAATGACTTCTAGCATGTTAATATAATAAATTAGTAATTTTGAGACCTTTTTATACTTACCATGTGCATGACCACCACATGAAAGGCCATTATCATCTGGTGCCTCTGCACAAAATTTTATATTTAGTGCCACAGGTTCAGATTATGTGGACATCCTGCACAACAAAGGAAGAGAGCTACTATATAGAGAGATCAAATGATAAATTGATATCATAAATAATGTTGTATGTGGTTCTCGTATCACGTAACATGAAGACTTCATAGCCTCTCTTCAGGTAGGACTCTCATACTGCAACGCTTGTCTTTGTAAACAGACAAAATGACAGGATAAAGTCGGTAACCTGCCTGTCAGCTCGCACTGGTCTGTTTCAGTGGATTTACTATAAAGGCTTGAATATATGTGCACTCCAAATTTAGGTTTGGCTACCTTAATCGACTTTTCATAAGCGAGTGCCAGAAACACTCAAAGCGGGTCAGAACGTTTGTTGCCTTTTCTGAGAAGTCAGCCACAGATGGAGCGGATGTGCTAGGAGACAATTCAGGAGAACAGTGTCTGCAAACGCTGATTTTTGCGTCTTTCTCGGACACTTTAAAATGCTTCCACACAGCCGACATGTTAACGTAATTGTTTGGTAAAATTTATTCGGTATTTTGACTTTTTTTGCTATTTTTGGGCGATTTAATTTCGGTGGCCGAACATTCAGTGCAAAAATTTGTTCTGTGAACATACAGGTGGATCTTATTCGTATTTGCATATGGTTCAGCCCCTTTGTGAGGCCACACAGCAGTGCTTTGAGCTATATGCTAACTAGTTATATTACTTCATAGTAATGACTGTCACCGAGTCATGT